AACAAAGAGAATGTGCTAAAGCTGCTTTGGGATTTCAATGAAAAATAATGAGAATTCATTGCTAATTAGCGCTCCAATTAAAAAACTGATCTTTGCAGTGACACTGTTAATGAACTTGTAAATTGCAGCTGCAGACTCGCATCCCTATGAACATTCCCTGGGTTGGTTCCCTGTGTGTGTGCAGGAGTGGTGGGTGGAGGTGCTGGTGCCCAGAGCTGTCCAGGGCACGTGGGAAGTGGGAAATGCCAGGGCTGAGTGTGGGGAGTTGCTGAAGGCCAGGCTGAAGGCTCAGATTGCCGTGGCATTTGTCTCACAAAGTATTCGGCTTTGTGAAAAAGAAGAATGGTAATTCACTATGCATTTATGGTCAGTCTTAATCTAATTAGAAGCCTCTTTATTTGCCTGTGTAGCACACTGCTGAGAGTGGCAGACAGTCCCAGGTACTCGGGTGAGCGTGGGTGTGTCACTGCCTCTTTGCTCATGACAGCAAACAGCCAAATGGTGTGGACCTGCACCCTTCTGCCCTCCCAGGGCATTGAAATCAGGATGAATGGCTGCCACGACCTGCCTGCACAGAGCCTGGGCTGTGGGCATGTGCTCCAGCTCCCGGGGCAGGGAAGGAGCCTGTGCAGAATTAAATGAGAGGGGAAAAACCCCGTTCCTTTTGTCCAGCTGCTGATGCAGGTACAAGCAAACAGAGGCACAGCCGGCCCTGCTGGAAGTCCAGCAGCCACAGCAGCCCCTGTGCCTGATCCTTCCTCACTCCCGGCTCCCCAGCATTTGCAGGAGGCAACATCCCTCGGGTATTTTGTGCCATCACCCTGGTTTTGACCCCTCCCTGGAGAACAGTGTGAAACCACAGGAGGACAATTAGCAGGGAGTCTAGGACACTCCTGGAACCTGATCAGAGGTTGGAGATGGCAAAACATGGATAAAATTCATGCTAATTGTACCCATTTTCCTATGAATTAGCAATGAAACAGGAATTAGCATCACACAGTGGGTGATGTTGGCAGGTACCTCTGGAGATCACCTGCTCTGGTCTCTGCTCAGGATGCCCAGAGCAGGGAGCTCAGCACTGTGCCTGGTTGGCTTTGGAATATGTCCGAGGATGGAGACTGTTTAGCCTCTCCAGACAACCTGGGCCAGCATCTGACCACCAAAAAACGGGCTTTGACATGCTTAACTGGAATTTTCTGTACTGCAGTTTGGGGGTTTTCCTCTTTGAAGAGGGGTTTGAAGAAAAAAGTACAGAGCACTAGGGATGAAGTGCGACATGAACATCAGGGGCGAAGGAGGGAAATGAAACATTTCATCCTTGCTCAGGTATTAATTTTTTTCTGTTTCATCCAAAGGCATAGATTTTATTTTGGGAAGTGTGTCACAGCTGATGAGATCCATAATGGAGCCATTAGGGGCATCTCTGAACATGCACTTTTCCCACATATAAAAATACACCTGAAATTTTGAAAGATGGAATACTCATTTGCCAATTTAAAAAGAAAATGGAGAGAATGAGAGAGAGAGGCTCGTGGAGTTGTAAATCTTCACAGAAAACCAGTGGAGAAGCACATGTACGTTTAGAATGATGTTGACATTTCTGAAATCAGAGATATGGTGTTTTATCTAAATTACACCAAAGCCCTTCAAGATAATGTGCTGTGTAATGGCTGCAGTTGTAGGCACTATTTCATTTTCAATTTTCTGTACAAAAAGCATGATTCTTATCCACAATTCCAGCTCAGTGTTTGACAAATTATTAGCATATACTGCCCAGCTGCACCTAGTGTAGGGAGAGCTGTACTTGAGGGGAAGAGGCTGCATTTCCCCCCTGCCCTGCACTGGCTTTGCCAGCATTCCATGTTATCCAGAGAGGAGGCAGAGGGGGTAAAGCTCAGGACTGGGGAGTGGTGAGTGCCTCCTCCTCCTCTTGTGTGCACTCCTACTTGAACCTCAGGCTTGGTACAAACCCTGTGTCCCTCCTGGTGTGTCCTGGGGCTCAGGGGGACCCCCAGACCTGCCGAGCACTGCAGTGACCCCAGGAATTTGGACATACCCCCTGCACGGGCAGGTCATGCTGCTTTGAAGGGTCCTAAAGCACCGCAGAGCAGCAGGTAAGTCTGGACTGATGGGAGAAGGCCCTCCAGAGCTACTCAGGAGCCTCTGGAGGAGTTGCTTTAGTGTTTAAAAGCGGGTCCTGACACGTGCCCATGTGCCCCCTGTGCCAGCTGCTCCCTCTGTGGCTCTGGCTGCGAGTGCTCCCACGTGAGGCGTGTGCTGGGCTCACCTTACAGGGCTGTTTCCTTCTCTGTGGCAGCTGAAGAGGTATAAATCCTTTTGGCACCCGCTTGGCATCAGTGGTGGTGCTGCTGGCACGGCCTTGTCTTTTCCTGGAAGCAAAGCACCGTGAGCTCTGGAGAGCAGGATACAGGTGAACCCCTCCTGAATCCTCTGGGTGGCAGGAGGTCCCTGTAATTCTGACCAGCTCCTGGTGCCCAGGGGTGTGAGAGGTGAAATAACTACCTGTCTTCAGGGAGCCTCCTCCTTTCTTGCATGTGCTGGAGCAGGATACCCTTGGAGAGGCAACGAGACAGTCTGACCCCCCCAAGTCCCTTGGCCCGATGCTCTTGTTTCCAGCACTGCTTGGCCAATATTCTAGAAGAGTTTAGCCGTGTGGGGAAGTCCTTTCCCAGTTTTGTGTGTCACAGGGCACGTCTGCAGGCGTGCTCCATGCTAGTGGTGCTGAGTACGGGAGCCGGGAGTCGGGAATTCTGTTTAATTCCCATGCAAAGAGCAAGCTGCCCTGACAGAGCTGGAAAGGGTCTGCAGATAAGTTGGATGGTAGATGCCATGGGCTTATCTGAAAGGCAGGATTCCCACTCCCATCCCTGGCTGTGATGGAATGGAGAGCCTGCTCCCTCTGCAGGGAGCTCCAGCTTCCACTGCATGGATTTGTCCTCAGTGTTAGAGAGAGAAAAACTCCTTTCTCCTCTGAGAAGTCTCTTTTGAGATACCAGTGGATAAAATCTGCAAAGATGTTATTTTTTGCACACATGCTTCCAGGTCAGTGGTCCTCAGCAGAGCGTGGGATGGAGGTGGAGCCCCAGCCACTCCCAGCTGAGATCTGCGGAGCGGGAGCAGGAGATGGCAGCACACCTTGTCCTCAGCTGGGCAAGGAGGGTTTTCATGACACCCAAACAGCACCAAATACAAATGAAACTCTGCTAGGAGATTAAATTTGAGGAAGAGGAATAGTTTCCTTGGCAAGCCTAGAGTAATGCTGGCAGCACTCAGACTGGTTGCTAAGTGAGGGGGTAGAGCAAGGAAAGGGGAGCAGTGGCTGTGATTGTTGTTGCTGCCTTAATAAATATATACATTAAAGGCAATAAACCCATACTTCTAAATTGTGCAGGATTTATGTGTTTGGAAACAGAGTAAGGGAACCAAGGTCAGAAGAGCCTTGGGATGCATCTCAGAGGTAAACTGTCTATGGTCAAAATAAATGTCTTTGTTTCAGCTGGTCACTAGGAATGAATATATATAAGTATCTAAAAATGTGCCAGGGGTTTCTTAGCAAGGTCTGACTGGGTCCCTGTGCCCTGGCAATGGCAGCACGGCATCAGGAGGGGGGAACTGTTGTAAGGAACAGCTCATTGCTGGCTCACAGGCAGTGCAAGGGAAGTGCTTTCATTAGTTCTTTCCTGATCCAGGTTCCCCCAGGATGGAGGCAGAACTTCCCTTGGACTGCAGCAGGTGTGGGAGTGAGCCCTGCTGGAGGGGACAGAAGGAAATGGGAGTTGCAGTGTTTTGATCCTAGTTACGAATTATTGATGGTATTTATTTGTCTTCACCAAATGTGCTCTTTTATACACACCCACCCAATTTTAGGGATAGTCCATGCTCAAACATATCTGTCTGCTCAGTAAGAGGGACTGTGCTTAAATCCAGTGAAGAATCAGATGCCAGAAGATCTTCAGAGAGGAGCTGGGGGTGTTTAAGCTTCATCCATCATTGCAGCATCACAGAAGTAGAAAATGTGGGGGGAGAATCTCTGGGGAAAAAATAAACCTGAGGTTTGAGTCTGTCAGGTCCTAGCCTTACACACGGCCTGAGGGTTGGTTTGAAATAATTTGATTTTGACGTGCAGCAAAGAACTTTGTGTTTGGGATTCCCCTAGGACAGTGAGATCACAGTTGGACATAACAGAGTATGTTAATATTCTGATTTGCCTCCTAAAGAAACCAGCCTGGACAAAGCCAGACTCTTGTGTCTCAGAGTTCTGGAGAACACTTTTCTGGAGGGTTTGTGCCATTCTGGATAACCAAAATGATTAAGGCACATGGAGAACTTGCAAAGTAAGATCTCTCCAGGTCATTAGGCCAGACACTTGTGCAGCCAGAAGGGCTATGAAAATGGCCTGTGGTATAAAAGATGATACTCTTAACTCCCTGCTATAGCTGGTACCCCTGTAGAACACTGTAATTTGATTTACTATTTGGTTTTCTGTCCTACAGTTGTTGGCAGCTTCCATACAGATCCCTTGTTTTAATGTTTATTTGCATGTTTAATTACTCTATAATAGCACAATAATTACCATGTAGCTACAGAGGAATTACATGGTTGTCTGTAGTCTGTAAACCAGTGTCAACCTCCTCTGCAAACAAATAATTATGCAGCCAACATACCTGTTTAACTTCCACAGGAATTAGCAGAGGAACAGGAGAAATGTGAAACATGCAGTTGCTGGGTTTGCCATTAAATATTTATAATTGTTTTATAAGTAATGTGCAAAATTCTTTAGTTCCTTGATTTCTTTTCCTACCATAACGTTAGACAATACGATCTGGAACCAGGGAAAATACTGCTGTGGAATTAAAGCTGCTAAAGCCGGGCTCTGTAACCACAGTGTTACTTCAGTGTTACATTCGTTCTGCAGCTGCAGGTTGTGGTCAAACAAATGAAAGTGTTTCCAAACAATTTCCCATGTGCTCTGTGTGCAGCTGTGAATCCTGGGAGCTCTCCTGGAAGCAGGAGGGAAGCCACGAGGTGGCAGTGTGCCCCAGGAAATGGAGCGCTGCCACCTGCCCGGCGCTCCAGAGAGCAGGAATTCAGCCCGGAGATCCGGCTGCGGGGACACTTGGCCTCTTACAGGAGCTGAGGTAGGATTTCAAGCACCTTTTCCCTTTTAAGAGTGTCAGTTTGTTTTTCCAAGGCTAAAGAAAAAGCCGTAGGGGTGAACATCTCCACCTACTGCATTGTTTCACGCCACTGAATTCCTTCAGTGTTTGCTTTAGCTTCAAACGCTCCCTGTGGATTATTGGGAAAGTGTGTTGCCTTGTGTTTCCCCTTTCCTCCCAGGGGATCTGCTTCCCCACGGCCGGTTTCTGTACATCCAGTGTTACTGGTGCTCAGGGTACGGGATATGGAAAGAGCATTCCAGATTCTGACCCAGCAACCCCTCTCCTCCCTTTTGCCTGGCTTGGGGTGGGGAATGTTTCCAGACCATGATCAAGGAAGGACTGTGTTTCTTGGGTACAGCAGGACCTACTGATGTGCTGTCCAAGCAGTAATGTACTGGTGATGGAGACAAACTGGTTTTATCCAGTATAAATCAAGTGGCAGGTCTGGATTATCCCCAAGGATGCTGGAAAACAAAATCCTGCACAGTGCTTCCTCCAAAAGGGTGCTGAGTTTGTTTCCAGCTGTGTTGCTTTGGGGAGGGCAAAATGGGCTAATTTCAGGGTAGCTCTGGGTTCTCCTGGCACTGCAGGACCGGTGTGTGCCCGGCTGTGCCTGCTGCTGCACCTGGCACAGGAGAGGGCTGTGGGAGGCAGGGCAGCCTGGTGGGATCCTGGCGGGGGTCAGAGCAGCCTCTGGCCATCCCCTGCATTGGCTGTGGCCTGAGGAACACCACCCACAAACCACTGCTGTCAGGTCTGCCACAGCAGACCTAGTTCATACTCAGCCTCTTTTCTCTGAGGGAAGGAGGATACTTGGCTCCCTGCTTTTTTTATGAAGTCAGCCCATTTATTTGCTCTTCAGAAAGCCTCTTTACAGCCCCTTCAGGACCAGTGGCGTGTGGCTCTGGGATGGGAGGCAGCTCCAGGGCTGAGTGCTGTGCCAGGACAGCTCTCCAGCCGTGGGGATGTCTGCAGTCCGACTCTGCAAATCTCCATCTGGGGGAGACAGCAGCAGAATTCAGAGTTTGACTGTTACCTGTGTCCAGCCCAGCCTGAAGCATTAAGACATGTTGGTGCAGTGCAAGGGGAATGTTAATCTGGCAGAACAAATGCCGTGAGTTATTGTGTGTTTGCTAATCTGGGGGCTGCCGATTCCCCCTAGAACGTCTCCCAGGCTCTTTGGCCAGGAGAAGCCCTGGCTGTACTGCCTCTGGGCACCAGGTGGCATCACGGCGGAGCGCTGGGAGCTGGCAGGGAGCACAGGCAGGATGAAGCTTGGCTTTGAGTTTTTCTGGGCATGGTTCCAGGCAATAATATCTTTTCCTACCAGTTGTGAAGGATCTGAACTTTGGTTCGCATGAGAAGCTTAAAAAAGCAACTGTTTAAAAACTCGAGTCCCTCCTCTGTCCTGCCTGGTGCTCGAGGCAGTGCAAGGCTTCCGAGTGGGCATGGGCTGGGTGTGGGAGCCCACCAGCTCCCTGAACCTGCTGGGCCTGCTGTGGGGCTGGGGCTCTCCCAAATGGACCTGGAGCTGGGGTCACTGCCTGCTCACTGACAGCATGAGGCAAGCAGGGCTCTAAGGACATCACGGTCCGTCTTGGCCACAAGGAGAGCAGGAGCAAACACCTCGGAGCAGCACTGAGCACAGTTTGTACCCAGCTCTGGGCAGTGCTGCACATCTCCCATGTGGCACATCTCCCATGGCCAGCTCTGGCCATCTTCTGCGGGTGGTTCTGCCCCTCTGACCATTCTGCCGTGTTTTCCAAAATGTGTCGGTTCTTTTGCTGTTTGAGGATTTGTATGGGCAGTTGCAAGGCTTTAAAATGCACAGTGGTGTCCCTCAGAAAGCATTTAAGTGTGAGGGGTTTTTTCTGTGGAACAAGTCATCCCTTTAATTCTGGCTCTCTAGAAATGACATTAGTGCAAAGTGAGGATGTTCCTGCACAGCCCCTCGGAGGGGCAGGTAGAGAGGAGAAGTTGCACACTGCCAAGGTACCCCTGAGCTTTCAGCCACTTGATTTGAAACAAATGGTTTTCCTGTGGATTGATAAGGGCTCGGTTCAGCACAGGAACAAACAGCAAAGCTGATGTTCTCTCACACACAGTTGTGTCCCTCGAGAGGAAAGCGAGCTTCACCAGCCCAGATGATTCCAAAGGAGTCGTGGGGCTGGGCGGGGAAGTCAGAGGCGCTTTCCTGAAGAATAGAGCCTGTAGTGTCTGCGCTGCAACACTGCTCCCCTTCTGTCCGTCTGTCTGTAGCTCTTTGTTATGTCAACATCTGTAGCTGTGAGTAAATAGCAGCAGGGCAGAATGCAGCTTGTGCTGCCGCAGCGCCGGCTGGGTGCGGGCCAGGGCCCGGCGGGGACTGTGCCACCTCTGTCTGCGCCCGGCAAAGGCACCCAGAGGGCTCCCAAACCCCTCGGGTGGGATGAATGGGATTGCTTGGTGCTCCATTGACTGTGCAATCCGGAACAGCCTCTGGCAGTCCTGGGCAGAGGCTGGGTTGCTGCAGCTCAGCACCTGAGGCTGCGAGTGTGGCAGGGCACGAGTGCTCGTCTGGGTAGTCTGTGAAAAACATCCCTGTTTTCTCTTGTCAGCTCCCATCAGGAATCTTTTGGGCTCTGCTGATTCTTATTTATAAAAATTGTAAATATTTGTGGTTGTATAAATGCTTGGAACTATTAGGAAAAGTCATTTTATCAGTAAGGACTGTGCAGTCCTGCTCTGCCTGCCCGGTGCCCCCTGCTCTCAGCCAGCTGTGGGCAGAGGGGCTGTGGAGCTGTGTCGGAGCAAAAGGAGAGGTCTGTGGAACCAGGCAGGGAGGGAAGGGGGCTGCCTCCATCTGGAACCTGCTTGTAGCGAGGCAAGAAGCCAAAGGCAGAGGGTCAGGGGCTGCAGGGGGGAGCTGCTGTGAGGGGCTCTCATGGGCCCCAGAGGTGCCGAGTGGGAGATGGACAGCGAGGGGCTCGCTGGCTTGGCAGCTCCCAGGGACCCCCAATTGTCACCAGCTGCAGGAGGGACACAGTGAGGGAAGATGTCTTCCCTGAGCACTCTGCTGAGCACCGGGAGCAGCCACACAGTGCTGGGTTCCTGGGGCATTTCCCTGCTCAGGGAGCTGCTAATGAGCTGTGTCAGTGCAACCTCAGAGCTCTTTCTTTCCACAGGAGAAATAAAGTCACAGGTACTTGCCAAGGAACTGTGTTGTGAACTGTTAGTTAGGCTGCAAGAGTAAACTTTGGAAGCTGTGCTTTGTCTCTCTTCCCATTGGCTACTGTTGTATCTGGAATCAAAAAGCTGTTTTCCCTGGAGCTGTTTCTGGCAGCCCTGGCCTCTTCTGGGCAGGGGTGCTTTCCCTGGTCCTGCTGTGTCAGAGCTGTTCTGCTTCCAGGCTCGGTGTATCTCCTGTGGAAATTCACCTTCCAGGTGGGTTTGTGTGCTTGCAGCATCTCAAGGCCATTGGACAACCCCGCTGTGGCATAAGGTGCTGTGCAGATGAGTGGTGGGAGCCAGTGGGTCCCTGAGTGCTGAGGAACGCGTTGGGCAAAGGGCAGGCAGGATCCCAGGGACCTGTCCGGGGCCAGGCAGCAGTTCTGGACGTGGAAGAGGGCTGGAGCTGGGGTGAAACATGCTCAGATCAAGTTTTGGTTAGACTTGATGTCAGAATGTGTCCTGGAGCTGCCTTTGAACAGAAGCACAGTACCAGTGGCTGGGAGGCTCCTGAGGTGAGCAGCTTGTGCCACACACCGAAGGGCACGTTTGCACCACAGCTCACAGAGGTTGGATCAGCTGTGCCACCATGGAGGCACATGTCTGTGCATCCACATGGCTCTCCTGCCTGGCAGGTGGGAGCTCTGGGGTCCCTCAGTGCTGCTGGAGAGGTGGGTGTCAGCCTGAAGGAGATGTGGCTGGGTAAATATGCTCATGTTCTACTGTTTACAGAACACTTAATTATTTTTGATAGGTAATTAGTGTTGTGTGTTTTGATGTTTTTACATCGATCTGATACGTGCTACCAAAGACTGTACACGTGGAGTAGGGTGTTCTTCACTTGGTCAGGACCTTCACCTGTCTTTGTTCTGGTGAGTTCAGAGATGCTGCACCAGGCCCACCAACCATTCTCTTGGTTCCAGCTGATTTTTTTCTTCCTTTGGAGTCTTGACAGTAGATTTTGCTTCCATTGAGCAATAAGGGGAAGACTTAAAAGCACAGAGGACTGTAAGGAATCTCATTGCACTGGAAGGTTGGGTGCCTAATTGCCCTTTGTGCCATTAAAAAAAATCTCTCCATATGTGTTTTGTTTTGTTTGTGAGCTTTTCCCTCCCCACACGGGCAAAAATCGATTGATCAATGTTTGTTACAAAGTTATGAACAAACGTCTCCGGGCTCTTTGCTGCATTGATGTCTCGCAGTGTGTTCTCCTTGCTAACAAAATTAGTTGCAAAGTCAGCAGGAGGTTGGGAGAACAGAGCGTGGGGTTTGTTTGCATAGCACACAGCCTGGCTGCTGCTTGAATAACAAACCCTGCCTCGCGCACACATCTGACCACGGCGCCGGGGCTGGGTTCTGTTTTAGGAATTGTTGTTTGAATAAAAGGTCATTTACTGCCTTACTGAGGGGAAAAACAACGGCGTAAATGTACAGTGGTGTGCAGCACACTGGGGGTTTTCAGTGGGGCACAAAGGGGGTGGTGTGTGGGAGCTGTAAACAGCCCGCGGGCACAACCACGTGTGAGAGGGGCTGGGGGTGCCAGCTGGGGGAGCGGGGGGCTCACACCTCTGTGGGGCACAGTGCCAGAGAGGTGGGGGTGTGGGGCTCACACCTCTGTGGGGCACAGTGTCACAGGGATGGAGTGGGGGGGGGGGGGGGGCTCCCCCCTTCCTAGGGTCCCAGTCACACCACACCTGTAAAAGCCGGTGGCTGGACGTGCTCAGCCTGGGCACCACCTCCCTTTTGGCTGCGGGAGGATCCAAAGGTGACTG